AAGTCAAGTCACATTTATTTATATAGCGCTTTTCACAATACAGATTGTATCAAAGCAGCTTCACAGTGATAACATGAAAGTAGTACAACACAGATCAATAATATTGTTAAATATTAAATATCCCCAACTAAGCAAGCCAAAAGCAAGGCAACAGTGGCAAGGAACCAAAACTCCATCAGATTGGATGGAGAAAAAACCTTGGGAGAACCCAGGCTCAGTCGGGGGCCAGTTCTCCTCTGGCTTACATTCATATTGTTTATATATAAATATTAAATATAAATATTATTTATGTATAAAACGGCGCCATAACATATCGCAGGCGTTGAGTCGTTTTTTCACAGGCATTGGTCTTCTCATCACAGGCGTTGGGGCATCCGAAATCCCCGTGAGAGGCTGGATACAAAACTGGACCTGACGAACGCCAATTTTTCTCGGGACAAGCTAGATAACAGCAGAAAGGCAGATGGGAAATAATTAGCATAGCTGATGTTCATAATGATTTCCATTATACGGGAGTCGGTGTTAGAAAACCACTATCTCACAAACTCTCCGTAACCTGAACTCTCCGCAACCCAACCATACGCGCCGACCCGTTTGACTAAGGCTGTCGAGCCCCACTGTCGCGGAAATGCGTTTCAGTGGCAAACGGTTCCGTATGGCATAACAGAGGACTAGAAGGTAAGCATTATGTGTATGCTTGACTAAAGAGATGCGTCTTTAATCTAGTTTTAAACTTTGTCAGCGAGTCAGAGGCTCGGACCGTATCGGGAAGTCTATTCCAGAGTTTTGGAGCTAAATGCGAGAACGCCCTCCCTCCTATACTGGACTTCGATATCCTAGGAATGACCAGAAGCCTTGAATTTAGTGATCTTTAGGAACGCGGTGGATTGTAGGGCGAAAGAAGGTCCGTTAAGTACATAGGAGCTAAACCATTTAGGGCTTTATAGGTCAGTAGTAGTACTTTGTAGTTGATACGGAACTTAATAGGTAACCAGTGTAGAGATGATAAAATCGGTGTTATATGATCATATTTTCTTGACCTAGTAAGAACTCTAGCAGCTGCATTTTGTACTAACTGTAGCTTGTTTATTGAGGATGCAGGACAACCAGCTAATAAAGCATTACAGTAATCTAGTCTCGAGGTCATGAATGCGTGAACTAATTTTTCAGCATCAGAAACAGATAGCATGTTACGTAGCTTAGCAATGTTTCTAAGGTGGAAAAAGGCTGTTCTTGTAACATATGAAATATGATCTTCGAAAGACAAGTTGCGGTCTAGTATAACACCCAGGTCTTTTACTGTAGTGGATAAAGTAACAGGACATCCGTCTATATTAAAGTTGTACTGTGAGAGGTTTTGTGAGTAGTTTTTTGGACCAATAAGTAATACCTCCGTTTTATCTGAATTTAATAGCAGGAAATTACGCGTCATCCAGCATTTTATATCTTTGAGACACTCTGTCATTTTAGATGAGTGAGTTGTGAGTTAACTGTTTTGTGTTATTAGTGAAAGTCGACTATTTCTCTTGTTAAAACAAGCACACTGACAAGATAAATGACTACGGTCTAATCTTACCACAAAAAAATCTGTATTGATAATATGATGCGTTTAGAAAAGCATCAGAAAACACAGCAGCTAAATGACCATTGATGAAACTCAAGAACAATAATACTGCAGACGTGTAACGTTACTTCAAAACAAAAACAAAGAAAGACAAGGGTACTGCTAAACCATGACCACCATGTGTTTTAAGAAAGTAAAGTACTTTATTTTTATTAACAATATTTACAGCTTATCGAAATGCTCTGTTCGTCGTCTCCAAAGATAGAAGGAATTTACCTCTCATTCAGACGAAGTCAATCAGCAAATCCTTCTTTATACTGGCGGAGGTTGTTGAAGTGGGAATCCTTGAAGTGCTTCAGGTCACTAACGTATATCTAAAAACCGAACATTTTGACTTGCCCTCTCGTAACTTCTGCATCATTGAGCTCGGACTACAAAATCGGAGCAAGAAATGATAATGGCGGATTGCTCGAAGTGTTGGACCGGTAGTCAACGTCCTTATTTGGTCCGTATTTCCGCTGCAAATACGGTGACGTGATAGTTAAAAAAACGTCATAGAGAACAGAAAAATCTGAACAGGTTGAAAAATATGACCAAAACAGAATATAAAGATATAAACGAAGCACCTGAAGAGAATAATTTCATCTTTTCAGTACTTAGAAACAGTCCAAATATACAACAAAATGCATTTAAGGGCTAAAAAAGTGGATTTTGCATGATATGTCCCCTTTAATCCACCTTTTTCTGCGCCTGTTCTGTTTCCCATGATTCATAGCGGGTTCAAATGACTAAAGGGTTTTCTACTTCCTGTTGAAGTATTTGTTTACATAGAATGCTAGCTCTCTAGTCCAGACCACTCATCTATAGAATGATATATTATGTAGATAAGTGGTCCAGGCATTAGAAAAATTTCAGTCTACACATGCGTTTTATATTCATGGACATGACCGTTCTGAAAGCGACTTTAAAACTTTCACAGAGATCTTTAAGAGAAACCACAAAGAAATCTTTCTTTAAAGTGAATTTCATTTTTTATTAATTGTTTCAATCAATGTTTCATCAACCAATTGCCTGGTTTTAATAAATAAGAAGTATATAGTAAACAATAGATGATAATGACGGAGACAAACTGGACTTGCAAAAGACGACAGAGCGCAAACCAGTCCAGTCCTTGCAAAAAGGACTAACCAGCCTAACCTTAAGTACTGTTATTCTGCAGCAGTCGCGGTGATAGAAACTGTCGGATATTCATTGCTGAATTAGGGAGATTGTGCAGTCATGCATCAGCTATCCTTTGGAAGTTATGAAGAAAAGAAAAACATTCATTTTGTTTTTATCTGTGATTTAATAAAAAAATAACGTGATCAGATCACATTTGATGAATGTTTTTTCGGTTTAGTTTAGTGATGTGGGGATGACACAATCTAAAGCCCGGAACACACCAAGCCGACGATCGGCCATCTGGCAGATTTTTCTTAACTAAGTTTCCTCGGTGTGTTATGTGTTACGCACGGTTCCGTGCCGTTGGCTGAAAATAGTCCTCGTCATCTTTGTTTCGCTCAATTCCACATGTTGAATCGGCGTCGGGTGGTTGGGGAAAGAGAGAACTCTGATTGGCTGTCCAGCTTAGTGAGAGAGTCAGTGCACGAGAATAAAAGCAAAACAGCGAGCCAAGAAGTCAAAACGGTCAAGATAGATGGCTGTTCTTATGTTACGTGTTTTTATCTGTGATTTAATTAAAAAAAATAATGTGATCAGATCACATTTGATGAATGTTTTTTCGATTTAGTTTAGCGATGTGGGGATGAGACAATCTGAAACACATGGCAAAAAACATAGACCAGACTCGAACCGGAAGTTGGTAACCGGAGTCGTCGTCATGGCAGAGCAGAATAAGGTGGATACCTAAACAATGGACACCTCGAAGGGCATTAACCCCTTACACCATGGTCATATACAGTAATAGGCCACGTCACTGACATTCATGAATAGATAGGCTGCATTCATCACCCCAACCGTTCATAAATAATCTAGTTTGTATCCACAAGTTTCCTACGCCCCATGAGGCCTTGCGTCAAAAGTGGGCGCGTCTTCCGGTTCGAAGTAAACAAAGCGCAACTTGATATACTTCACACTCGTTCATTCAACAGTTGACAGTCATTCAAGTTATAGCGATCCAAACTAGCTAACGATGTGGGAACACAACCTGAAATTAAAAAGGGTGAAATAACAGTTACCCTCCGCAGTTACTTGGTTGGGAGTATTATAATAACATTATTAATAATCAATACTCATCAAGGCATGGTGACAGACAGTTGTGTGAGCTAACAAACAATTAAAATAAAAAATAGACACTTAGTCATTGTGCTTTGGAGTTTATTCAAAATTATAAATGAATGTGCTGCTTGATACATTAACTGGCACATTTGGTATTCTGTCAACTCAGGCTTTGATCCTGAGTTTAGGTGTAACATCAGTAGCGAACTGCCAAACACATTCTGATAGATTTTATCGAATATTAAGACTTTAAACAAATGGAAGATTCGTCGTCTTTTGGGAGGTGATGGAAACTAACGTTACAGTCGTTGGCAGGATCACTCTGATTTCGTTTTCGGCTTATGTTCAAAACAATCACGTTTAAGCCACTGAATTAGTTTAGTCCGGTTATACATACAACAGCGAACAGCACATGTTGTCCCTGAGCTCCGTAACGACATCTTTCATAAAGATTTGCGTCTTTAAATAGTAAAAAAATTCTCAGAAAAACAGCAAGCCTCTTCGCTAACTAACACACAAAATACCATTGGAATGCTACTTCCGCCGCCTTACCGGAAGTTTCACCCACTTTATTTTTTACAGGAGCGCCCCTCGGAAACTTGTGGATAATAATAACGATATTTATGAATACTAAACTCAGAGCTGTTCAAAATTTAAATTTAAAATCTCTTCCAACGGCTTTCCCATTAGGTTAGTTCAGATTGGTGACACTGTGCACAATGACAGTTGGTTGATTTTTGCTCTCCACTCCTGTGAAGTGGTGTATCAATGTTCCCTATTCCCTGCGCCATTTGCAGTGCCCTTCGAACTAAAAATGTTTGTTCCCTTTGGATTGGAATCTCTCTTAAGAAATACCCTGTGAAGGCCACTTCACAGTCCACTTACGGTCGAACGGACACCTTCAGTTTCACCAGAACTCCTTTACTAGGTGTCCTCTATCATGCTTTAATGAACACCCTGCAGCCAATCAGAATCGGGTATTCACCCAGACCATGATGTAATAAACATTACAGAATCCCTGAAATGACCCTTCTAAGGATGGTTAATGCCAGTACACTTTTTTTTAGTTAAAGAGAGTGTTCTTGCTGTATTAGCAAAATTATCAACCTGTCAAAAACTTGTTACAAGAGCACACTGATACTTGTTCACTCTAATACAGAAACAAGATATTTACAGCTTCAACATTAACTCTACGGTCACCAGCCACTATGCTACCACAGTCATCACAAGCCGTGTGAAAAACTTGTTGAGACACCGTCAAGAGGTCTTGTTTGAGGTCAAGATACCCAAGAATGCATTCATCAGACAGTTTAGAATGTAAGTAAATACTCAATATTCAAGCAATAGTAAAAGGTTCTCTAACACTTATATACTATTCACATATGAACAGCCAGACTTACCTTATAAAAATTAACATTTTAGTGCATTTATTTGAGCTGTCACCATTTGTCTTTGTTCCTGATTTTTATTGCTGATTACTGTCATTTCCACATTAGGACCATAGAGGGGAAGACATATGATGGTGTTGTGAAGGATAAAAATGAAGCTCAGTGGGAGTATGAAAAGGCAATATCTCAAGAAGAAAGTGCTGGATTGATCAGGTACTTGGTATTTTAAAAAGATTATTGCTGTAGTTCAAATGGTAGAGCATGGCACTTGCAATGTCAAGGTCATGTTTCCAGAATGCATGGACTGATTAAAACAATGTATATGCCTACCTTCATTGCAATGTAAGTTACTTTGGATAAGAGCGTCTGCCAAATGCATATGTAAAATATAAATTGTTTAATTTCTTTAGCATTAAATAAGATTCAATTTGGATCAATAAAATGTATTCATTTCTGGATTATTAAATATTTCATTTCTATATCAGTGCTGTTGGAAGGACTTTAGAAGACTTTAAAACTTCAGTGACGGTGGCTGCTTTTAGTAAAGTGACTTTTGAGTTGACCTACGAAGAACTGCTAAAGCGTCGCCTTGGCAAATATGAGCTCCTCATCAATGCCCAACTGATGCAGCCGGTGGCAGACTTCAAGGTAGGAGAAAAACAAAAAAAGATTGTTAATATGAAGATTTGTAAATGAAGGAATTTTTATTCATAATAATGAAAATCAAAAGTGAAATGTAAAGTTTTATTTTGGTTAGATTGATGTACACATCCATGAGAATCAACAAATTTCCTCCATGGAGATCAAAGGTGGTCTATATCTGACCAATGCTGTCACAATCAACATAGCAGGCAAAGATGTAAGAAAGACAAAAAATGGAAAAGAAAAAAAGATTTAAAAAAATGCAACTTTGTGCTTGAAAATGTTAAAATTATCAAATAAAATGTCACAACTTCTGTCATTTTGCAATCTTAGGCATGGGTGACGTTCTACCCCACTCGTGACCAGCAAACAAAGTGTGGTGACTGTAGTATAAATGGTCTGAATGGCAGCCTGATTGTTATGTATGATGTTAAGAGACTAAAACAAAGTGGAGTTCTGAAGGTATGTTTATACTTAGGCATTTAAATATAAACTCACGAGAGACAAGTTTATGATGACAATCGGTATTCACACTGACAGCAATCTCATATAGGTCTCACTCCCAGGCTTGTCACCTGTCCTCTTTTTCAGGTGTCAAATGGCTATTTTGTCCACTTCTTTGCACCTACAGATATTCAGCCCATTTCCAAAAAGGTCGTGTTTATCATTGACCAGAGTGGCTCTATGCGGGGCAAAAAAATAGAGCAGGTGAATTTCTTTTTCAGTCATTTAGTCTTTTGTGTTTTACTTATTGAATTTTTGAATCCTAAGAATAATACAGAAGGAATTATTATTTTTACATGTACTTATGACTTCATGAATTGAAAGCATTCTTTTTTTAGACTCGTTTGGCAATGCTGAGTATTTTGAGTGACCTGGCAGAGGGTGACCTCTTTGGATTGATCACGTTCAACTATCACATTCAGACCTGGAAACCTTATCTTCTCACAGCTACTAAAGGAAATGTGGAAGAAGCAAAGAAGTTTGTGAAGAGAATTAAAACTGGAGCAAGTAAAGTGTACACCAACGGCCAATTGAACAAAAGCATTTTAACCCTCAGGTGCTCTTCGGTCATTTCTGACCGAAAAATTTTCTGTTTTGACATTTTAAAAATCACAGCTTCATCGGAATGTTATGAAACTTGGTGACTTTTACGGCATTGGGTATGTGAACACAAAAAAAAAAATCGAGGTCATGATCCGAGCAGGCTAAGTGATCGTAAAAAAAATAGTCACACTTGTGCTCTTCGGTCAAAAATGACCGACCATAGGAAATGAATGGGAAATTGACAAAAACAAAAAAAACTTTGAGAATTTTTGTGTGTACAATCTACAAATCGGCCACGATGCAGAAAAAAAGTGCTCAGCATTGAAGGGGTGACACTCTAAAACATCAAGGGCCCTATCTTGCACCCCGCGCAAATTACTTTTTACAAAAACGCATGTCTCTTTCCTATTTTGCACGCGCGCAAAGCGGGATTTTCCCCTCCACAGACGCACGTCGGTAAATGAACTTGCGCTCCCTGGGCGGATCGGCGCAAAAATTCCCTGGTGCTATTTTACACTTCCAAAAGACAATTGCGCCACAGACCAGAAAAAAAAAACTGGTCTAAAGTCAGTGGCGCGTTGCGCGTTGTTCATAATGCTATTTTAAGCGCGCATTTTTGGCCATGATGTAGCGGGTACACAACGGGCATACACCGATTTCACTGACACTGATCTAATTAACACAGATGCAGTAGTTTTTATTTTTGCGAATCATACATTATAACAAGGAAAAATATTAACACATGAGGGAACTCATTGTGGTTTACATGAATTATACATTACTACGTCACCTCTCTGTCTTTCACTGTCCTGACGAGAGCGTCGGTCTCATCGTCTGTGAACGCTCCTGGTGATCGAGCGCCTGGTAAACCCGCCGTTATAATAACAATCATGAAACATGCACACCAGATCTTAAAGGGTATGTTGGATGGCGCTCTGATGGTTTATTTCACATTACGCCCAAACCACACCTATGAATAATGAAGCTACTTCAGACCAACCCCTTTTAGATTTGCGCCAGGTGTAAGAGGCATTTATCCCGCAGGGAAAATAGCAACAGCGCCGGGACACCGCCTACAAAGTTACTTACGCCATGCGCTTTGACACTTGCGTTTCAGATCGTTAAAATAGGGCCATGAGTGCAAAACAGACATACCCACCCCTACACACACACACACACACACACACACACACACACTTTTATACACAAAAACACCAATAAATTGTGATTAAAGGAATCTGTTTTGAATATTTAAAAATCACAGCTTCTTCAGAAAAATACGAAACTTTGTGACTTTTATGGCATTGGGTATGTGAACACACAAAAAAATTGAGGTCATGATTCGAGCAATTTAAGTGGTAGTAAAAAAATGAGTCACACTTTTGCTCTTCTGTCAAAAATGAATAGGAAATGGATGGGAAATTGACACACAAAAAAAAGATTCTCAGAATTTTTGTACAATCTACAAATCAGCCACAATTCTAAGAAAAAGTACACCGCAGGACAGGGGTGACACTCTACAACATCTAGAGTACAAAACAGACACACCCACCAACACACACACACATACAAACACACTTTTATACACTTACACACCAATAAATTTTGATTACAAAAAGTATGTTTTGGACTAATTGAAATACAGGCTGATGGTCGACCTGCTGGGCATTGCTGCCTGTCGCACCTCCACCGGTGCCTTTTGTGCAGGTGTGCTCCACCTCTTTGGCATAAGATAGGTCATCAGCTGGGGACCACCAGTCATCGATGTTTCGCTCCTTTAACCCCAGTACATCTCCTGGTGGCGGAGCGATGGCAGGGATCACTCCCTGCCACCCCCTGCTGATGCCCTAGATGTTACTTGGCCCCCATACCTTGTGCTTCCTCCTTAGCCACAACCAAAAGCTGCCCCTCTCAGCCTCCTCTGCCAGTTCTTTAATGGCTTTTCGACACCCTGCTCCTGTACATCCCATCTCGCGGAGCAGACGAACCGTTGAGGACCCAACAAAGCCCCTGCATCCCACTTCAACTGGCCACGTGGTGGCTTTCCAGCCAGCCTCTTTGCAGGCTTCTGCCAGATCTGCGTACTTGGCACGCTTCCGTTCGTTGGCAGCCTCCATTCCCTCCTCCCATGGGACAGTGAGCTCCACCAACAAGATGGTCTTGCATAACTCTGACCACATGATCAGGTCTGGCCGGAGCAAAGTTTCCACGATCTCCCTGGGGAATTGGAGCTGCCTCCCCAGGTCGACCCTCATGTTCCACTCACTGCCAGATAAGAGGACTCTAGATGTTGCTCTCTGGTGAGGGTGATTGATTTTTTCCCCGGCCCTTGCAAACAGGATGGGACTTCTCGTTGGTCCAAAGGGTCTTCTATTAGCCTCCTGTCTACACGACTCTGCCACCTCTGCTAGTTTCCTCAACACCAGATCGTGTCGCCACCTATGGCGGCCTTGGGACAATGCTGTCTTGCAGCCCGACAGGATGTGCTGGAGGCTTGCATTGCTGGTACTGCAAAGGGGGCAGAGTTCTTCAGTGCCGAACCACTGATGGAGGTTTCTGGGACAAGGTAGGGTGTCATAAGTAGATCTAATCAGGAAGCTGAGCCTGGCTTGGGGTATCTTCCACAGATCAGACCATGACAGATGCCTGTCTGTGACACCTTCCCATGACATCCAGACTCCCTGCCAGCTCTGAGACACCGCCTTGATGTTAAGGCGCTCCTGCTCAGTCCTTGTCACTTCTGCCACCACCATGGCTTTCCGCTCTTCCTTGGAGGCCTTTGACCAGAAGAGGGGGGTCTCACTCCTCCCAAGGCCTGCTCGACCCTCCTGGACTCTGCCGACTATTTCACAGTGTTTCAGCCTGCTAATTGCCCTGTCGACCTCTTCCTGGGCTTTCCACTTCCTCCCTGTTCGTATATTAGGGCCAGCTGCTCTCACCAGTTGATCAGTGGATTCCCTCAGCTCCATCACCATCCGAGCCTTCTCCTGCTTGTATCCCAGGCCAATGGATCGCAGTGGCAGCTGTAGTGTGTTCCTGCCAAAGAGGCCTACCTCTGATAGGCATCTTGGCAGACCTAGCCACTTCCTGATGAATGAGTTTGCTAGCCCATCCATCTTGTTTGCCACCGAGGAGGGAACTTCGCTCATCTTCAGAGGCCACATCACCCTTGGGTATAGTATGAACTGGTAGCTCCATACTTTATACTTGCCGGGGAGCTGGCTCTGATTGATCCTGGCGAGGCCATCTGCGAGCTGCTTTCTCACTGTTTCCCCCATCTGCCTATCAGAGAGGTCTGCTGTATAACTACGACCCAGGCTACGGACGGGCTGATTTGCCAGCAAAGGGATTTCTTCACCGCCTGCGAAAAAGATGGTATGGTCATTTCTAACCCCTTTCCTGATGGACAGGCTGCGTGATTTGGCGGGTTTGATCTTCATCCTCGCCCACCCCACAAGCTCGTCAACCCTCTTCAGCAGCCTTGTTGTGCATGCAGCTGTCTGAAGAATGGTGGTGATGTCGTCCATATAGCCTCTCACTGGTGGTAGCCTTTGGCCTGATGGTAGCTTCATACCTCCAACCATCACCCTTGCCCCCATCAGGATAATCTCAAAGGCTGCCACAAAGAGGATGGGCGAGATTGAGCATCCCATGGCAATGCCCACTTCCAACTGTTGCCAGCCTGTCGTGAAGTCCTGATGAGTGCAACACATCTTGATGTCCTCAAAATACTTGGCCACCAGGGCACGAATGCAGTCAGGGATGTAGAAAAAATCCAAGGCATACTCGATGAGTTGGTGGGGGACAGACCCGTATGCGTTGGCAAGATCCAGCCACACCACATGCAAGTCACCTTTTTCTCTTTTGGCTCTCTGGATCTGCTCCCATATGACTGCAGAGTGTTCCACGCACCCTGGGAAGCCTGGCACGCCTGCTTTCTGGCAGCTAGTGTCAATGTACCCATTGCTTATGAGGTAGGTAGCCAACCTCTTTGCCAGGACGGAGAAGAAAATCTTGCCTTCCACATTCAGGAGTGCAATGCTCCTGAACTGGCTAATGGTGGTAGAGCTCGTTTCCTTCGGGATGAACACTGTGACAGCTCGTCGCCAATCTGAAGGGATAACCTTGTTCTTCCAGGCCACTCTCAGGAGGTTCCACAGATGTCTCAGGACCCCTGGGCAGTACTTGTACAGCTTATACGATATCCCATTGAGGCCTGGAGCTGAGGCTGCTCTCGCTTTCCGTACAACTTCTGCTACCTCACTGAGTTTGGGGAGATCAGTGTTAAACAGCGAGGATGGGGGGGCTGGGCGAGGAACATAACCTGGTGATCCCAGTGGCGTTGACTTTGCTGGGTCACTGTACTGCTCCCTGAAGAAACTTTCCAGCTGTGACTGTGTGATCTCCAGCTTCCCGCTTCTCTTATCCTCCAGTAGCTGTCTCGCATGCTTGAAGGGGTTTTTGAAGAAGTTTCTCCTCTCCTTCTCCTTCCGCCTTCTGCGTTTGCGGATACGCTCTGCCCTCCGAAGGCTGGCTAGGTTCTTCTTCACCTCCTCCCACAGTGGCTTCAAGCCCTCCTTCTCCTCTTTACTTGCCTTCCTCCACTGCTTTCGGAGCTGGCGCCGCCTCTTTATCAGTTGCTCGATCTCTCTCTCCCTCCTCCCCTTCTGCTTTGAACCCTTCTGCTTCTCAGCAACTACCCCGAACCTGCTTCTGCACTCCTCGTACAGGATGACTCCAAAGCGATTCAGCTTGGTTTCCACCTGGCCACGCAGTGACTGCTCCAGAATTAAACAGAGGTCCTCATCGAGCTGCTGCCACACTGCCACCTCATTCGCTTTAGGCCATTTCACTAGCTGCCTCCGCCCAGGTTCACTCCTCTCTGGTCTTAGGCCTGGCTCCTGATTGCTGGGGTTTAGTAATGAAGGTTTCCTAAGGATATTTTGTGCACCACCCTCAGAGGAATACGTATCAACCAAAGACTCTCCTGTGTCCTCTACCTGCCTTCCCTCAGCAACGTTGGAACCTTCAGCGCTGTGGTTAGCGACCTGGCTTTGGGTTCCTCTTGTCTGACCTGCAGTTGCAGAGCAATGTTGCTGCTGGCCCCCCGCTTGACACTTCTTCTTTCCCTGGTGAATCCTTAAACCTCTGAAGGTAGTCTCCTTCTCCCATCCACACCTGCATCTTCTCAAAATCTTCACATCATTGCCGGTGTCCGTTCCAGTCGTTACCAAAAAGTCAGTCCGGTTTGGCCCTTCTTCCACCCCGCCTCTCGGAGGGCCATCGGGTTGTTTTCCTTTATTTGTCTTCGTAGTTTATTACGGGTGTCCTGTCAGGTACTGGTGGGTAAGGTAACTAGCCTGCCACCCCCGATGCAGACTTTCCTGCAGTCATCCAGTCTCTCCTGAATGTCCTCCAGTCTTCCCTGGACGCCAACTGCCCTTTCACAGTAGTCACTGGATACCTCCAGATTGAACTAATTGAAATACAGGCTGATGGTCGACCTGCTGGGCATTGCTGCCTGTCGCACCTCCACCGGTGCCTTTTGTGCAGGTGTGCTCCACCTCTTTGGCATAAGATGGGTCATCAGCTGGGGACCACCAGTCATCGATGTTTCGCTCCTTTAACCCCAGTACATCTCCTGGTGGCGGAGCGATGGCAGGGATCACTCCCTGCCACCCCCTGCTGATGCCCTAGATGTTACTTGGCCCCCATACCTTGTGCTTCCTCTTTAGCCACAACCAAAAGCTGCCCCTCTCAGCCTCCTCTGCCAGTTCTTTAATGGCTTTTCGACACCCTGCTCCTGTACATCCCATCTCGCGGAGCAAGAACCGTTGAGGACCCAACAAAGCCCCTGCATCCCACTTCAACTGGCCACGTGGTGGCTTTCCAGCTAGCCTCTTTGCAGGCTTCTGCCAGATCTGCGTACTTGGCACGCTTCCGTTCGTTGGCAGCCTCCATTCCCTCCTCCCATGGGACAGTGAGCTCCACCAACAAGATGGTCTTGCATAACTCTGACCACATGATCAGGTCTGGCCGGAGCAAAGTTTCCACGATCTCCCTGGGGAATTGGAGCTGCCTCCCCAGGTCGACCCTCATGTTCCACTCACTGCCAGATAAGAGGACTCTAGATGTTGCTCTCTGGTGAGGGTGATTGATTTTTTCCCCGGCCCTTGCAAACAGGATGGGACTTCTCGTTGGTCCAAAGGGTCTTCTATTAGCCTCCTGTCTACACGACTCTGCCACCTCTGCTAGTTTCCTCAACACCAGATCGTGTCGCCACCTATGGCGGCCTTGGGACAATGCTGTCTTGCAGCCCGACAGGATGTGCTGGAGGCTTGCATTGCTGGTACTGCAAAGGGGGCAGAGTTCTTCAGTGCCGAACCACTGATGGAGGTTTCTGGGACAAGGTAGGGTGTCATAAGTAGATCTAATCAGGAAGCTGAGCCTGGCTTGGGGTATCTTCCACAGATCAGACCATGACAGATGCCTGTCTGTGACACCTTCCCATGACATCCAGACTCCCTGCCAGCTCTGAGACACCGCCTTGATGTTAAGGCGCTCCTGCTCAGTCCTTGTCACTTCTGCCACCACCATGGCTTTCCGCTCTTCCTTGGAGGCCTTTGACCAGAAGAGGGGGGTCTCACTCCTCCCAAGGCCTGCTCGACCCTCCTGGACTCTGCCAACTATTTCACAGTGTTTCAGCCTGCTAATTGCCCTGTCGACCTCTTCCTGGGCTTTCCACTTCCTCCCTGTTCGTATATTAGGGCCAGCTGCTCTCACCAGTTGATCAGTGGATTCCCTCAGCTCCATCACCATCCGAGCCTTCTCCTGCTTGTATCGCAGGCCAA